TGAGTTTGTTTTGATGCTATGTTGTTTATGCTTTTATTAATAGTGTATAGTTATTTCAGAAGTGAAGATGTTTTTTCACTGCAAAATGATTTTTCAAAGCACATTTTACAAGAAAATACTATTTTTCACATTAATTCAATAGGTTACTTGCCATTTGTTTGTAATAATTTTGTGAAATTTACTAGCGATTTCTACATAAAATCCTACACAATTATTTTTTCACTGTATATGCAGCAAAGTTGCCTTTAGCCACTGATCTAGAGTCAGTGTTCGCTTCTCTCTAGTAATTAAGTTCACATCTAATCAAATGGAACACGGAGAATAAAAAAGAGTTAGAGACCATGTGATTGGCTGAAGTATGTTCCACTGAAGTGTTATGTTTCCGGCTTTGTGATGCAGCTCTTGGTCAGATTTATCGGTCAAGAAGTTATTTTTTGTTTGACCCTATGACTAAATTTTCTGTTTTGTGTTTGATTACAGGCCACAGAATCGTATCTGGTGCATGAAGGTCCCCATCGAGGTCCAGGCATCTCAGAGTGTTTCCTAGTGCCTGAATCCTACAGGGTACAAGCCATTTTCCTGTTTTTCTTTCTTTTTTCTGTGTTGTTGTTCATATGATATGTTTCTTGATTTTTGTGACTGTAACATGATGAACTGAACTTTGATTTCTTTCTCATGGTTGATGTAATTAATCTGCTTTCAAGCCAGACTGAGTTGGACTTCAGATTGAGATAAGATGAGTTGGAATCGGTTAAGTAAACTATCAAACTCAGATAGAGCAGAGATATAATCTATAATGCTTTTGATTAATTTTCCATTGCGTATCCTGTGTAGTAAAGCTTTTTTTGAGAGAAGAGTGTGTACATGTGCATCATAAATCTCAGCGGCCGTTAATAATCTTGTATGCTGCATTTATATGTTCATATGGTAAGACGGTGGTTAGTGTTGAGAGGAATGCAGAGTTTATGTGGAGAAGCAGCTGCAGGAATGATCTACATAAAATATCATCAGGATTATTTATCTGCTAGCCACTAGGGAATGGTAAAAAGCAAAGTGTTTGTGTTGGGTTAAAACCGCACACACGGACTATATCGCTCGCATATGGTTCTCTTATGTGAGTTTTAATGGAAGTCTTAGCTGCTACAACCGCAACTCGACCGTGGGTCTGCTTAACAAAGAACTGGGTGTGTGTGCGTGTGCGTGCATGTATGTATTTGTATGTGTGTGAAAGTATGCATGCGCTGAAAGCAGAATTGTTTTTTTATGCACCTCATGCTATTTTGTAGAGTAATGGCTGCGAGATATGTGTGTGTGAAGCACAAAGACTGTGGTTTTGGATTTGTGCCTTTCAATGTGGTAATGCCAACCTGTGTGCCCTTTTTCTGACCTCGCTCTTAACTCTTAATGTCAGTGTTTTTCTTCATGTTGTTGTTGTTGTATATCAGCTGTTTTGCAGATGCATTTGATCACAAGCAACATACTGTATTGTTGAGTTTGTCCTCCAATAGTGATCAGTCAGTATCATGGAAAAATAAAAGTTATATTTTTGGAAACTGTAAAGGCCCTTTCACACCAAAAGTGAAATTAATAAGTACCTCAGCTTTACTCCTAATTTCTCTCAATGCAGGGACAGGAGAGCTGGCAGTAAATAAATGGGAAAACAAAGTAACTTGCATTACTTATTTGACAAAGTAACTCTGATATTTTCTTGTAAATTTAAAAGTAATGTGTTACTTTACTAGTTACTTGAAAAAAAGTAATCTGATTATGTAACTTGCATTGCTTGTAATGCGTTACCCCAAAACTGGTTGTCTTTAACTTTATAAACTTATAGCTCTTTACTGTTACACTGTAAAACAGCGAAATTAACTAAATTAGTTGAATTCATTCCACTCAAATATTACTGAAACTTGGTTGTACTTACTAGAAAAAAGTTACACGAACTCAAAATCTGATTACATTAAGTTGAACTTAAGCTGAATGAGTTGCAGCAGATTTCTAGTTCCCAGCAAGCTTTGAGTTAGACCATATAAGGAGAATAAAAACTAGGTGTTATTTTGTTGGGTTTCAAAAAAACATATAGAGATGTTAGTGTAAAATATTCTATATTTTTAGAATTTATAGGGTTTTATGTTATGTGGCAGTTTTGCATGCATAGGGAAGGTGAACGATCAGCATCTATAAAAACGAAACAAAAACTGTTTATGTGCTCATTCCATCTGTAAAAAGTGGTAACCAACAATTGTTATCATAAAGAACAATTTCTGCCTCTTTGTTTTTTGTTGTTTTTGTTTTTTTTTGCATAAACAGATGTATAGGTTGGTTCAGCAACATGAATATTTTTGACCTGAATGAAACCAGTTAATTTAGATATTACTTTTTTTCCCAGTGCATCAGCATTCAGTTTCTTGTAAATTATTGAAAATAAATATATTCTTTACTCATGTCAAAAGTCAACCGATTGTAAATCCGTTTTTCAATCTGAAGTGGTCATTTCTAAAGAGGCCGGTAACCTACAACTCCATGGAGTGTTTTCCCAGATGTTGATTAAGCTTTGTACTGGATTAATCCTGTAGTCCTGGATTAAATTGTGCCATAATTGGTAAGTGTCCTTTGTGGTGTTGGCTTAAGCGGTCTATGAGAAAGCAGTCCTAATAAAAGAGCAGGCTAATCTGCCTCTTAAAGTTTGACAGCAGTGGCACAGCAGAGTTTCACGGCTGGAGAAGGTGCAAGATAAGCATAGTTGAGCATGCCGCTAGGCAGCCTGGGCGCTGTGGTTTGCCACAAAACAGATGTGGATTTAGGAGACCACCCTGCAATACTGTGATGCAGGACTGGGGCCTATAGATGAGTCATAGAATAAGAGAGAGGGGGAGAGAGGGGTTACTTACCTTCCATTAACTGATTAAAATACAGATTGCAGTAGTAATGCACAGGGGAAAAAGGTATTGCAAACCGAAAGCAGCATTTGAAAAGGCCGCTGACACAAAGAATGCAGTCAGTCCTGCTGCCATTGATCAACCTTTGCATATTTGTTTAGAATTGCATTGATTCCCAAGGCTTAATGGCTTCAGTTGAAATTTTTGAAAGTTTGTTATGTATAATATTATAGTCATTAATGACTGATATATATGTAATGCACTCTTATGACAACACAAAATTGCTGAAAATGAAAATTTTCACCATATTTACTTAAAATGACCTAGAAAAAATATTTGGGGGAAAAAATTATATTCATTATTCATTCACAAAACAATTGCAAAATTTTGGAGGTGAAATAAGGGGGAAGTACCACTCAAAACTAACTTGGCAATATTGATCTGTAATTAATTATAACATGTAGGCTAGCAGTATAAATGATAGTATTGCATGCTTTGGAAACTAGTGTGCTGTTGTGGCAATGCTAAATCTGACTATTTCTCAAAAACAGTGGCCTTAAATGACATGGGTGCATTTTATATACCCAAGTTTTGTGTATTTAAACTTTTCTGTCACTAGATGAATGCACGTCTTCTGAAAGATTATAGAGAATGAGAAACTCCCAACTTTTTTATCAAATGGGAAAAGGGTGAAGGGGAGAACAAGAAGGAGAGAAAAGTTTTTTTCCTTCCTAAAGTTTGAGCTTTCACTTTCTGCCTTCGAGGCGGGGTTAGCGGCGAGAGCAGCGTGGAGTAAGCGCAAGGGGGGACGGCGAGCAATAGCAATGCAGCAACGCGGCGAACTTCCACTCAACTTCAAAACGCGATTCATTTCCCGCCTCTGAGATAACCATGTACTCTCCCTACTGCCTGACACAGGTAAAATGCCTTCATTTAATTAATCAGTCGTGTCTGTGTGTGGTATGCTGCATTGTAGTACCGTTGCCGTGTCTTGTCTTCTCTATTGCTGCTTAATAAATGCATTTCAAGTTATGTGTTGCGCTTTTTAGAGCGTTCTTTTCGGCCGCGCGTTTATTTCCAGCTTCCAGCTCGTTCGCGGAATCGTTTCGGAACTACTCTCGTGCGTTTCATTGCACATGGGATCGAAGAGAAAATGGCGCTTCTCCCAAATCTATTTTACATGAAAGGAGATGGGCTTGCCCGGAGAGAAAGCGCGACCGGCATAGTAAACGGCTCGAATTTTCGATGTCAAACTATAAAACGTTCTGGTCTGATTTCTTTAAGTTGTTTTCCCAAGCTGTGATGTTTCAGGAGATGGCTCCGACGGTGTGTCCAACAGCTGCCGTGCATGAACGTGTCTCTGCGCTCGAGTTCAGAGGCATGAAGGGACTTTGATCTACCTGTCCTGAGTGAGAAATGTGTCCAAAATACGTTAGCCTAAATGTGCAATTCAGGGATATGTTTTGTTCTCCTGTAATAGTTTAGTAGGCTTATTTTATTCTAAATAAATGGACCGAGGAGAATATGTTCAAACGCGTTTACTTCTAAAGTGAAGACTGCGTGAAAGAAATGCCTTTTTGACGTTATGCAATTGGCTATTTTATGCATATGCAACTTCTGACATGCTATTAAAAAAATTATCTTAAATAGTTGTCTAGTTCAACATATTCATTCATAATTTATGAACCTTTTTTCATAATCTTAGGCAGGTTGGAAGCTTGATTATGTGAAGCGATGATACGCACGCTGGCCTATTATAGGCTATTTTTATGCATAAAGATCTTGTTGTTTGTACAACACATAACATAGTATTAAAAAAGTAGGCTACTTTCAGGATAGAATTAAATGATTCCCTTAAAAGTTTCATGACAATAGGCTATAATAGGCCTATTTTAATCGGAGCAATTCATGCCAAATTGACGGCTGACTTAATTTACGGTCACCAATCTTTGAAAAACACTAACTGTCTCTACTTGGCAAGAAGTCAGACTTTTGCAGTTACAAAATATTTTACTAAACTTTCTTAGATCACAAAAAGTTGTTATTTGATTAGCCTACATGTTTGTCTTAGTCTAGTCTTAACTTGCTTTTAATTGTTGGCCTCAGATATAGGCTATAATGCTTACAAATATTAAGCAGTGTTTAATGTGTTATAGTCTTACATTTTAACACAAATGTCAGTTTTGGAAATTATAGCCTACTCTGTTCTTGACTGCCTACTTGAAGCCTTTTTTGCACAAGCAGTATTATTTTTGAAGAAGCATTTGTGTTCCTCAAAGATGCGTGTATTTGAATAAATAATTCAAAAGTAAATTGAAAATGTATTTGCAGTCGTGTGCCATATATGCGCGCAGGGGCTTGTTTGTGCTTCACGCCGCTTGAAGGAGTCGAGCCGCTGCGGCTGTAATCTCGTCCATCTCGGAGAGTCTCTCTAGCCCAGTTTGGCCCGGGTTTGTGGCTGTCGCTCTTTCTGGCTGTTAAATATTCCTGTAGCAGACATTCGACAGGTCTTTAAAAATAACTTTCCTTTAGGCTAAGACATAAGTAATTGAATTCTCAATAGCTGATGTCCTACAGGCGTACCTAAACTTATTCTGTCTTGTTCTTATAATTAATTTCTTTTTTCAATTTCTTCATTTTTAAAGGATTTTGGTCTTGGCTTCCATTTCTTGGCCGCAAATAGGC